GTTTTATTTTCTCGTTTATTAATAGAAACGCAGTCGTTAGTCGCGTAAGCAATCAATATCAATCTTATGCTATTTATGACTGCACCAGTCATGGACCTCGTTTCGGTAATGATCTTGCTTTCAATGGGGATTTTAAGAATCAGCAATTGAGTTATTGCGTTCAAAATGTTTGCACTTATGAGCTTTCCTTGAGACCAACCGCGAGCTCAAATAATTTTTCAGTAGATGAGTTTGAAGTCTTTCAAATTGTCAAAAAGCAATTAGTCTACATCTGATAATTTTATCATATAGTTATAATAAATAAATGACTGAGAAATTTATCTCAAAGCTTGTCTATATTAGGTTTTTTTATTTAGAAGATTACTTTAGAATTTTCTTATAAGACGCAAATGTTTTGTCTATTAATTACAAATATAAAAAGAAGAAACCATCAGACAGAAAAAGTATTGTATTTGGTTTTGGAAAAGTTCAATTTGAAATTTGAACTTAATAATTCATAGTTTTGAATAAATTTAATATAACCAATATAACAAATTTAAAATATTAATTTTTTTAAAAATTCTGAAAGTTTTGCCACCGTTCTGACAGGAAGAATGTCCAAATAGTGCTCAATAAGGTCATTATAGAGGATATGATAAGAAGAAACACGTTCCAAATGAATTCGTTTTTATAATTTGTCAGCTAAATAACTTCTTATGTGCCATTGTTGCGTTCCTTCTAATATTTACCGAAAGGGCTTATTCTGCGATGGTTGGGGGCACCAGATTATTGCAGTTATTGCAATAACCAATCGATTCAAGGAACTTTCTGCAACGGGATGGGAGTTAAACTGAATCATTTACGGTTGGTGGGTCTCTCCGGTTGTTCTAGAGGTTTCCCGTGGCGATTTGTTCACAAATCGGTCTTTTCAAAATGATAAAGGGGGGTATTTGAAGAATAGATAGGATAGAATTACTCTTGTAATAAGAGTCGTTATGTTATAATAAAGTTTTTTAATACCAATTGATGCGAATATGGCAGGGATTATTGATACGGCCTGTTCAAAAAGAAACTCAATACAAAAGGGCGATTCGACAGGGTTTATTGATACGGCCTGTCCAAGAAAAACAAACCAATTTCAACAGGACTTATTGATACGGCCTGTACAAAGAAAACAAAATCACTTAACAGGACTTATTGGTACAGCCTGTGCAAGAAAAATAAAATAAAAATAACAATTCAACAGTATTCAACAGCTTATTTAGAGTGGAGAAGCATCCGCTACTTGCAATCACTTACAAGGTTTGAAGTTTGATCACGAAACGAAAGAAAATAATAGTGTATTCACAAATAATATCGTTATTACGAGTAAGA